AGTATGAACAGGCTTCAATTTCCTGGCAGGGGACATAGTAACTGGTCCCTGAAAGAGAACATTCCTTTCCCAATGCATTATATGCTGAAAAATCCCACCATTTTTTTTTTCATTCTTGGTTTTAAGCACATAGAGAGCTGGAAAGCCTGTGATGCTGAAATCCATTGTTAAGCCCTTGGAAGGAGACTCTAGTCTCAGCAAACAACATAACTTTTTTACTTCCTTGATGTTTCTCATATTCTCACTTCCTGGGAGTAGAAGAAATGCTGCTATAACTTAAACAATAGAGTATTTTAGAGTCAATGCCAGTAGCCTAGTGTCTTTAGTCATTTCTATCATTCTGGTGTTGTATTAGTTTTAAAGTTTCTAAGCCAATGCAATCCTTGCATGAATAGCAAATAAAAATGTTTTGTAACAACTTCCTTACCCTTTCATGAAGAAAATTGAAAACTTATCATGGAGGTTGTAGACACAGATTTGAATCACTAAAAATTATCTAAGAAATGGTAAATAGTATGAAGTGAGAAAAGCAGGAAATTAAAAAACAAAACCAAATCCCAGCCTCTCATTTTCTTAGCTACAGACATCCCTACCAGCTGATATTCTGCCTTAAGACCCAAGTTCATCTTGGACAGATGTTGTATCTTCCAGAGTCTCGCTAGAAGGGTTCCAGCCTTCAGGGTTCCAGCTGACATCCTCACATGCCAGCTATGTCTGAGGGTACCCAGCACCATTTCCCAGGAAAGGGTTATCCATGCTAAATTTCTTTTGTAAGCACAATGAATGTCAATCACAAAAGGGTCGAGGTTGGAATGGACATCAGGAGGTCATCTTGTCCCATGCTCCCTGCTCAAACACGGTCACCTGGAGCAGATAAGCTGGAGTATGGCTTGGCTGCTTGTTAAGGTGAGATCTGAGAATTAAAAACAAGAGGAATCTGGAAAGGATAGCATTTCTTCTGTGCCTGCTTCTTTCTGGCTCCTGCTTCGGGTCAAGGGAAATTCAAGAGCACTTGAAGGGTAAAAGTAGCTCAAGCAGTAAGAGGGGAGCTTTTAGACTAGAGAAGACTGTGTGTTTAGGAATGAAAGGAGATGAGGGAAGACTGGCTGATGTATAAGTGATGAGGGAAGGCTTGCTGAGGCATGAATAACTTGCTGGAAGCAGGTACGGGAGCCCTTGAACTGGTACAGAGTGAGCCCTGTGACTCTTTGGAGTTTCACTGTGTGTTGCTGTATTGTGCTACTCTTAGTTAAGGTATAGGGAAAAGCTATTTCAAAAGATTTTTATTTAGCTGTTCTACACGAGCTTTTTCTCAGCCTACATTTTAATGCTTGACAGCTAAGCTTTTACAAGTTTTTAGAGCCATTAATCAGAGCAGTGTTTTGGGAAGCTTTTGCAATGTATATTTGAGAACTTGTATGGCACTGGTTTAAATTAAAAGCTAAGGCTTACTTTTGAGGCTGCTTTTGGCCTCTTTCCTTGAAGCATGGAGCAGTGTGTTATTGCTCTAAGAACCCATAATTAGTAGCAAATGTTTGCAAGATGTGAAAGGTTGTTGCTAGGGTGCTCCTTCAGGCTGGGATGTGTGAGGGATGGTTAAACCTAATTTAGCTCTATTTCAAGAACTGTTTTCTTAAGCTGCAAGGATAGATCATTTTTATGCAGTGCAATACATTCTGACTTCTTAAACAGGCAACAGGAATAAAGGCATTCCTTATGACTTCAGAATACTTATGACTTCATGTGAGCAGAAATTAAGCTCCTATCCTCTGAAGTAATTTGCTAATGAATCAGACATGAGATAGGAAACAGGACTTCAGACTTAGGCTGGTTTATTCATAGATGTGCTGATTCATTTGCCCAAAACCGCTAAAATTCCAAGCTATATTGTCAACTCAAATAAGGACCAGAAGCATATATTTAATTGTTTTGAAGATCAGTGGTAACTCTTATAAACAGATAGTAAAAAAATAATTAAGAAGCATTAAAGTACCTCCAAAAAATCTCTCAGGGATAGCATTATATGCCTCTTGAACACAAACACCAGGTTCCATGTAATGACATGACAATTACTTTTTGTTATGTTTGATGCTAGGTTTTGAAAGACCCACATAAAAGGTGCTGTCTTGTGCCAAAATGTCTCTGAGGGTACAGGACACTGATCACTAACACAGAATGGCTCTGCAGGTCAAGATGATTACCAGCAGAGTAAGTTGATGATCTGCAGATGAGAAAGGCTGACATTGCTCTCTTTTTGGTGATGATCCCAAACCTGCCACTGGGGGCACTGCTTGCTTCCTCCAAAGGATGAAGGATGTTACAGCCAGGCTCTGGGATTCAGGTGTTGCCTCCATTTCTGTTGCAGATGTCCTGTGTGTTTTTTTGTTAAGTTAGTTAATCTCTTTACATTTCATTTCCCAGGCTTCTTCCTGAATCTCTGACACACACTCCCTCCCTATGCCCTGCTTCTTGCATGGTGCCCTTGCTCCTGCTGCAGCATTTCTGCTGCCTGTGTCAGGGTCTGGGTGGCCCTATCAAGTGTATCCCCTATTCTGATCTCACTTGATAGGACCCCTACCCATTTCCATGCACACTGGCAGGGATGACCCATGGTGGATCTTTGGAGCTATCAAAGATGGGAGCAGGGAGGGCAGGAACCACTGCAGGAGTGGAAGCGGAGCTTCACAGTGCACAAAGAGCCTGGAGGCAGGGAATGCCACTGAAACCTGGCCCCGGGGGGTGGGCGGTTGGCTGTGGGGATACAGGCAACATCTTTTGTGTGAATGTCTTGCTGAATTAACGTCTGCTGACTAAAAGCACTGGCTGGGGGATCAGCGGAGGGGGGAGGATTTGTGTATTCAGGGTGAGTCAGGCACTGACGCAACCCAGGAGGGCAGGCAGCCACAAATTGCAGTCTTTTTCTTAAATAGGGGTGCATGTGGGCTGGCGTGTGACTGAGCATTGGGTTTGGCCTCTGACAGACAGGTTTCCGTGCCGTGGCTCGAATAGTACTAGAGTGGAGAGAGGTACAGGTACATTTTAAAATCTTCATGGGTCTTTTACATTAGAGAGCTGTGGGAAAAACATGGAAAATAACGATGTCCCAGAGGTTAGGAACTTGTGTAAGATTCAGCATGCAAATTAGGACTTACTTAAATATTCCTGTCTGTCATTTCACCTCCATTTTGGTGGGAGTGGATTTCTAGGCATGCAACAGTGACATTACAGCCGACCAGCTTCCCTGGTATTCCCTCTGTATGCAAGCTCCTTAGTGCTTGGGTTTGCATGCACAGCACTTGCTGTGCTGGACTGTATCCAGCTCCTAGTGTGCCCTTGTAGGATGGCAGGCTCTGGATTATGAAACAGCAGAGATACTTTTGTGATTATTCAGATTTGTACTTTAATCCTGGGCAGCCAGCTGCATGTGGCAGGGTCTGTACACAATGGGTGGGGGGCCATAATGCTTTTAAGGAGGCTTAACTGGTCTGATTAATTGGTTGTAGTTGCTCTCCAGTTACCTGGATAGTTGAATTGGAAAAAAACCCCCACCTGCTGGTGTGCAGTCCCTTCTCAAGCCCTGCTTTCATCATGCCATTTCATCATGCATAATCATTTAAATTGATAGTGATAATAGGAGGATATAACTTACAAAGACTCGTAAGAATGCTCTCAGTGTCGGAGGTGAGACCTTTCTCCTGACTGCTCATTTCCTCCTCATCTTTGCTGATTCATTTCTAAATAAAAATAATACTAATAAAAAAAGTCCCCTCACTTTCAGAAGGGGAGAAGAAGATTGTCAGATCTCTAAAGTAACTTTCTTTTGCTGTTGAAAGTAAGATGAGGATCTGGTTCCATATAAGTCACTTTATGCTGTAATTCACTGTGAAATGTGTATTCTTTCTTTTATCTAAGATCATTAAAAGACTAATCTAACTTTGCCCTATATTTCCCTTGTACTTTTAATTATGAATGTTGGCTCCCCATCTTCTGAGAAGGCAGATCCAAATGTGGCTTCCACAGACTTGTAAGGGAGAGGAGAAACAAATGGGCCCATCTAGGAGGAGATGAGACTCAACACTAGCCTCTGGTTTGCACTGGCATGTCATAATTATCATTCAAATTAGAAGAAGATTTGAGATGCTGCTTCTGATATCGGTCCCAAATGAAAGAAAGATGAGTACTTAATTTTACTTACCACCCAGTAGGAAGTAGGCATCAGGTAATAAAAAGTAGCTCATTTATCTGTGAGGGTCTCACAATTTGCAGCAGCAGACAATCTGACCAGCCTCATGCCATGTCTGTAGTGTCAGGAGAAGTATCTTTCTGTGCTGGTCTTTTTATGACTCTTGTCAAGCACACAATGGACATGTGGATATTTGTGTTTGGCCATTGCACTGGAAATGCCACATTATCTTCTAATGGCCTGGGATAATGTCACTCTGTGCTATCTTTTTTTTCCCTGTCTACATTTAGAAGCAGATTTATCTTTATTCTAAGCTCATGAAACAAGGCAGTACTATTATACCCATTTTGTTAGCGAAGCACAGAATAATAAGGTAGCAGGATTTCCCCAGGGTGTGTAAAATTGTGATACGGCCCATTTGCAAGTAAACATGAGAGACTTATCACTGATTGCCTTTTTTTTCCTGGAAAAATACTCATGTTAGACCTAAAATTTGTTCCAGATTTTTTGAGTTGTGTTTTTGTTCTTTATCTTTCTTTGATGGTTTTGGTTTTGATTTTTTGGGGGGTTTGGAGTGTTTGTTTTCTTTCTTTCCCTCCCATGCCTTCCCCTCTTCTAACTCTACCACCTTTTCCTTAATGAAGGATCAAGGATAACCACTTGCACTTAGAAGCCCTTCTTACACAAGTGTTTACTAACAAAATACCGATTTTTTTCAAGTGAAGTCACCTGAATGACATGCTGCTGCTAATCAGAGAATCAGAGGTATTAATTACAATCAGACATGGTGAAGTGCTTATTGCTGAGCCATGAAGTCTATAAAGAGACCTAAATTACTTTCTCTTATTGCTAAGGACAGGCAATGCTTTATTTTTATTGCCTTGCTGAGCTCTCAACCTAACGTCAGTCATCAGCAAGGCTATATAAACTCTGAGCTAGTTAATTAGAGGGACTACTTTAAGACATCAGACTTATGCATGAAGAGTTTGGAGTTAGTTTTATTTAAGGTGTTGAAGTAGTTTGTATATTTCAGTAGGGTTTCATAAAGTTTTTGTTTATATACAAAATACATAATTAATACATAGTATTTCTGTATGTGAATATCTGACATAGTTGTGCTGCTGAAAAGCTGCAGCCAGGACAATGCTTGGTAGGCTCTGGAAGTTAGTCTTTTCTAAATTTGTTTTCCTTCGGTTGAGGGAAGAGCTTGGCTTTTAGCTGAACGTAGGTGAGCAAGGGTGTTTTTTGGAATACGTTACCTTCTGTATGTGACTTGGCTTCTTTATTTATTTTGAACTTGTGAAAAAATATTTTAATGGTAGTGGTGGAAATAAAAAGGGAATGTAAAAGCCCACCACTTGGAGGACCAAGTGCTACACAGCTGTAGCCTAAAGATGATGAAGATGGTTTTGCTCCTTAAAGATAACTTCTCTAAATGTACATATGATGAAAAGATGTTGCAGGGCTTCTGCACTGACTGGCTGGCCCTGAGCACCTGCCGTGGCCCAAGGCTGCTATGTGTAACTTCACTTCTTTTTCAGAGGAACTCTACTGGAAAAGAAATGCATAGGACTACATCTCAGGATGGGGAACATATGCACAAGGTAAGTTTTTGTTGCTTGCATACCTGTTGCTCTGTGTACATCTTGATGATATGTCCTGCTGTATACAGGAAAACACTGCTACGTTTTACTTTTTATAAGTAGTTAATAACTCTTCAAGAAGCTGTTGCATTTCTAGTCTCACCAGTCTTTTACAGGCCATGGAATATATAAAATATTCTAAGAACTAACAGTCCATAAAGTCAGTGCTTTACACCCAATCTGTGCCGCTATTTTGAGTTGTTGGCTGTCCTTTTCTTTGTTAAGACTGGCTAGAGTATAGAACATTTTATCTTTAGTAATCAAAGTTTATAGAATGGGTGCTGCTACCTACACATTTTTGGAGAGTCTGTTTGTAAAGTCCCCTTCAGGTGCAGTAGAGAAAGTCTCTTCACCAGTAGTTCCAAATAGGCTGGATTTGCAGGGTGAGCATACCGCGAAAAGGCATTTCTAAAGGTGAGTGCAATTCAATTTGCCAGCTTCAGTGTTTAATCTGGTACTTTATTGCTCTTTAGAATGAGGAAATAGCCACAGAAATAACTGCTGCAAGTAGCATTGCCTTGTCTAATGGTTTCATGGCCTGTTGTCAATGACTTTGAGAGAGCTATTGAAGGATCTCCATATCTTACTGGCTACTGCATGCTGTCTGACTTGCCCCAGCCAGCTGTTAGGGTTTAGGATGCTACTTCTTTCAGATAAGGAGGAAAATTACTTGAAAGATGATATACCTAGAAACACTTTAGAACGGCATTAGGAATCTATTGGTGAGGATTGTAAGCTTAGACATATTTTCTGTTTGCTGTCTGATGACAGAACACATGCTGTCCTGGTTCTGGCTGTGATAGTTCATTTTCTTTCTAGTAGCTGGTGCAGTGCTATGTTGTGGTTTTAGCCCGAGAACAATACTAATAACACACTGATGTTTTAGTTGTTGCTAAGTAGCACTTACCCTGATCAAGGGCTTTTCAGTCTCAATCTTTGTCAGTGAGGAGGGACACAAGAAGCTGGGAGGGAGCAGACACAGGACACCTGACCCAAACTAGCCAAAGGGGTATTTCATGCCGCAGCACATCATGCCCAGTATATAAACTGGGGGAAGTCACCAAGAAGGCCCAGACTACTGCTTGGGTTGGGCTGGGTATTGATCAGCAGGTGGTGAGCAGTTGCATGGTGCATCACTTGTGTTTATTAGTATTCTTTCCCCTTTTGAGTTTTATAATCTCTCCCCTTGTTATTTCCTTTAGAATTATGGTTAGTAATATTAGTATTGTGCTTTATTTTAGTTTTTAAACTGTTCTTATCTCAACTTGCGGGTTTTACATTCCTTTGATTCTCCTCCCTATCCTGACTCGGGAGGGAAGTAGGGGGTGAATGAGCTGCTGTGTGGTACTTACTGGCTTGTTTTAAACCATGACACTCATCTGCTGCTAAGAGCACGTTGATATTGATAAGATATTAAGAGGATTTTTGGGCAACCTCTAGGCGCCACTTAGGAGGAGGTCTGCAGGGACCCTTCTCAGATTTGTGAGTGTCAAGAATGGGGTGGGGAGGAGAGGTAGTAGTCTGTCTTGGGTAAGGAGACTCTTGTGGTAGACATGACTAAGACTTCATGGTAAGAAGTGTAATTGGAAGAGAATGGCTAAAGCCTGATATGACTTAGGTTAGGTAGCCTATTTGGAAGCCAGGTGAAGATATTCAGCTGAGATACAGATATATGTTCTAATGTTTTGTAGACGCTCTCCTGAAGAGATGTTAAACTCCAAGAAGAAAGAAGGAAAGTCGAAAGAATGGCAGTGTACAATGCAAGCATGTAGATTTATAGCTGCTATTGCCCAGCTGTGACTTGGTTAGCACTAGAATGTGTCTACAGTGTAGATAGAAGCTGAACATAATTCCCATGTTAGTAGATTGTCCACCCTTTTCTGAGTATATTTGTTTCCTATTGTTTCTATGGAGATCAATTACACTTTAGCTTGCATTAAGCAAGCAGGAGAATCTGCCAGCTGTTCAGCAAAGGCCTGATAAAGTAATTTCTTCCATCTCATGTTGACAGCAATGATGCAAGTCAAATACTGTAAATGGAAAAGTTTTCTCTTAAACTATGTTTTCTGGTAGTGACTATGATACTATATTAGCTTGTATATTGACTAGCCTGGCTTTTAGTGTTTGTAGTCCAATATCTGAGGACAGAGCTGCTACCCCTCTGGGGGAGGAGAGGGAACTATTCCCTCTGTCTGGCAAGGTGAGATGCTATTTAAAATCTATAGGCTAAGTGCAATGAAGCTCCTTGTTTGAGGAATGTAACTGGTGCTCTTAGTCACTGTGCTGGGACTTCACTGTTGGCTGCTTTTTCCATGTCATAAAATGATAGATTCTGGAGAAGATAAGGTTAGAAGAGAAAATGCTGTACATGTTAGTATGAAGATCACCAAACAGATCACTGACAGTGTGAGTGTCATTACAGAGCCAGGAATAAGACCGGTAGCAATGGGTGGAAAGGAAGCAGTGCTAAATAAATGTGAAAAGCTGATAGAATACTCTTTTCTAAATAAAAAAGATGAAGATTTAGACAAGTATATAATACGCTAGCTTTTGGCTTACTTGTCTACCTCATAGGTAGTGCTGATACTCCTTAAGTTCAAACTCTGTTCCTTTGGCATCTGTCAACCTATATGCATCCATAAAGTGGGCTGGTTCTGCAATGTTTTCAGTTTGACAGAGGGATGTCTTAATGGAGGGAAATGTAGTATTCATCTCATTCGTTGTCATAATGATAGGCAGAAGGCTAGTAAGAGGGGTGACTGTGTGTGATTTCAAGTAGTCACATCAGTAGAAATGAGTCTGTGAGAGGGAAACCAGCTTGGCTGTGAAAAGTAATTGCTATTATAAGATTAAAGAGAAGTGACCCTGGATATATATTTCAAATTTGTCTTTAGTAAAATATTTTTATAATGATAGACAGATAATGTTGTACAAACCACTTTTTTCTTCATGTTTGATCTCTCTCTCTGAACTAAAGAATGACAACTTTTTTGTTCTGTTCACATAGCTAAGCTTCTGCAGTCTGAGATGAATGGTCTTAGACACAAGTAAAAAAGGAGAAGGGCTAGTTTGTGCATCTTGGTTCCTTTTCATTTGTCTTTTCGAGTGTGCTTATGAGTATTTTCTAGTCCAGGTGAGAGAGGCTGAACAGTGCATTCAAAAGAGTATTTTATCTATCAGATGTGCCCCCTGGAGCATCAAGGTCTCTTTCATTGTATTTTTAGCTTGGTTCTGAATTCATAGTCTCTTCCATAATGGTAGAGTTTGGTGGTCAAAATAAAGCATGAGCTTGCACCTATAAGTGAGGCAATGCTTCCCTCTCTTCTAGAACCTATTTTTCAGGGAAAAAAAGATTGTTACTGCAACTGTTCCATGAAGTGTGATGGGACCTTAATCAAAATAGTATGGCCTATCAACTTACTATGCTGAGCATCATTTTGAGAGCCCAGAGATATAAGGAGAAGTGGAACGAAACTTTATATAATAAAACGGTAGACTTAGGTCTTGCATGTTGACACCTTGCTTCACAGCCTCAAAGAACACAATCAGAAATAAAAAAAAACCCAACAAGTTGAGTCAAAGATGGCAGAAATATTACAGGCATCTCCCAAAAGATGGACGTAGGTCTCTCTTTGCAGCAATAAAAGTTTGATGTTTCTGTAGCACTTAAGAGTGTTGTGGGAAGGGCTTTATAAGAATTGAAACTAATAACTGACAAGTATCAACAGCATAATTGTGGGTGATGCTGCTCTGTATTTCACCGAGTGCCAATGAAGCTCTGCTGTTTCCAAGTTCTAGCTTGGACTCTCAGTCTACATCAGTCTCAGTCTACTTTCTCTCCTCTGGAGCATAGTCCTTAAATTTGCAAACACAGATCTTTTACTAATAGGATCTACATATTCATTAAGCCCTGTTCAACCTCTGCTTAAAGAGTCATCTTGGTCTTGTCAGCTGGGATCCACTTTCTTTGTAGCTACTGCTAACTGAGAGATGGCGTGCAGCTGTGGAAGCCAACTTTGAAATAAACTTGCCCAGAGTTAGAAGCAGAATGACTTCCCATTTCTTAGCAGATACTGCCTCAATTGTTTGTTGTGCCTTGGTCTAGTATTCAGAATTCAAGCCCTTTTTGATTAGAAATGCATAGGGGAGATCTCATTGGCTTCTCCATTGCCTATTACTTTTCAGACTTATCTGACAGTATCTTAACACGAAGTCAAGAGGAGATGATCAGGTCCTGGGGAGACTCTGGGCTATTGGCATATGTAATGTGTAGTGCTTGCAACTTGAGTTGTAGACTGACATTTCTTCTGATAGCTGTGTGCAAATTATGCAGCTGCACAAAGCAAGGAAAAGAAGCCTGAAGTTAGTTCCTAGCAGCAAAGAAGCCTGGAGTTAGTTACTAGCAGATGAAGCTCAAGCCTTGCTTTGTCCTCTCAGGATAACTATTAAACTCCAATTCAGACTGGTTCCAGTGCCAAATAGTACACTTAGAGAGATATTGCTGTTGTAAATGAAGCTGCAGTCACAGACAGCTCCTGAAGGGGCTCATATTAGATAAGTAGTAATATTAGTCAAATGTTCCTCTTGATTTGCAATTTGAATTTAATATATATAGAAGAGATTGCTGGAGCAGTTGCACAGTCAAGTCTAGCTCTGTCATGGCATCCATAAGAGCCAGCTGGGTACAGCACTTAATGCTCTTTAATCATGAAACAAAAGCTACTAGCTCAGATGTTAATAATATGTTTTGCGGTTGAATGCTGCTATTGAAAATGTTCCTATACTCAAACAAAGGATTCAAATCTGGTTTCTGGTAGCTATTTCTATTTAGACATCAAGGCTTGCAGCTCAGCATGATGCCTATGCCAATGAGTCTTTGAGATGAGAAACCAGCATCCTTAATCTATAGCTTCTTGAAAATACGTAGGCTCTTTTCCCGTGGAACTCTGCAGGAGTGAATGCAAGGTGTAGATTTGAATGGTACTGAACTAAGCACTGCTTTAACATTTAGCAGTTTCTGTTAAATCCCCTCTCTCTGCCTTCACTTGGGTGTGCCTTTCAGTGGCACCTTAATTTTAGATCCCCTCTAAAACTGGAGGGACAACTGCAGGACTAACTAACTGCAATGTCCTCAAATCTCTTCCTCAGTCCAAAGAAGACAGGAACATCTTGCCAATCTTATATCTGTGCAGGAGTGTGCATTTTGTCAAGAGTAAGAAAAGTCACTGTGATTAGGTTGGCTTTATGTATGCTTGTTTTGACAGTTTTGTACTCTTACCTTGACAGTTTACATATTGAAATGTCTAGTTCCACTATCCCTTACACTAGCAATTTGGACTATGCTGATGCTAATTGTCTGCATGCTTACAAGAGAGACAGCATTCAGATTACTGTGTTGAAATCTACTATTGATCTTCTGCACTTCATCTTCACTTGCAGCAGCTTTAAATATATAAAAATAAATAAATAAAAACTTCCTTCCCACATTATAGTAACTAGCTGCATCTCCACTGGCACCACACTATCAATTTTGTCATGGGCTAGCTCAGAAGAACACTTCTTAAAAATTGTATGACTATGCCTGTGATGTATCTAACATCATCAGACGAATATAGTGCTATTGCAGGTAACAGACACTGGAGCTTCCTTGCTTCTGAATCTCCATTATAAATTTGATTCTATGATGTCCCTTTTCTTAATACAGCCAACCACATAAGGGTACAGGTTAACTACCTATAAAGAAGATTGACAGCTAACACAGCTGTTAAATTCAACAAACTTAATGATAGGTATCAAGATATATATAATATATATAGATATCTAAATATATATATCTATATATCTATATATACAATATGTATAAGATAGATATCATAGTTGAAGATCAGATACCCTTGTCTCTGCTCTAAAGAGAGCCTTCAATAAGAAGGGGATTTTTACATGTGAGGGATGCTTTCCTAGAGAAAGATGCATGCTTCTGAAAGAACTGCTTGAAGTTTACAAGGAGCTACTTCAGTACAAAGGAAGCTCTTCTAGTCTTATAACTTCGGTTGTCACACAATATCCTTCTTTGGTATTGCATGAAATTCATGAAGAACTCAAGATTGTACTAAAGAAGCCTATGTATTGAAATAAACCTTCCCAGAACCATCTGTGTTGGACCTCATACATATCCACATTTGTATTATCCGGAGCACAGACAAAGCTCTTTACCCTTCATAATACACCTAAAACATAGCTGAGAGAAAAACATATAGAACTTGCAGGTTCATCTCTGCTATTGTACAACAGCAAACGCTCCCTACAGAAATGCTGTTGCCATCTCCGAATTTTGCATTTACCTTTCCAGGAATGTACCCAAAGTGCTTTTGCAGTAGGGAGGAAGCTAAGCAACCGTACTGTAACAGAATAAACTCTCATTGGCAATCTATAAAAGGCAACAAAACCCATACTGACAAGGAGTAAATATTTTGTAGAAAGCACTCTCCGTGGTCCTCATCCTTAGACCTGTAGGCCCTTTACTAGAAAAATACCCAAAGATGAGCCTAAAAACTAAAATTCAGGACACTACTAGCTTCCAGAAATGTGGATCCTACTGAGTGGTTTATGGTTCATTAAAATCTGTGTGGTCCACAGGAGATTACATTACTTGTCTTTGTGACCAGCCTTTGTTCTCCCAAGGGTGAAATTATCTCATCCGTTTTCTTTCTTCCTCACACTCATTTCATTACTTTATTCCACAGGGATGCTAACTACCTTTGCTCTCAAAAAATGATCTTACACTTACTCTTCTAGCTAAACTCTGAGCAATGCATTTCTCAGCTTGCATGGAGCTTTGAAAGCTGCTGTTCCTATTTCAGGCTTGCATACCTGAAAACTGGTGTAATTTTCCCAATCACATGGCTTGTTCAATAGAAATTACTACAAATATCGTGCCTCTGTTCTTGACTAAATCTGTTGCTTAAACTTAGCCTTTTTTACTTAGCTAGCACAAGTAACCGTCCCTTTTGTGTTTCACTTACAAGTCTGAGCCCAAAAAACTGTCTTAGTTATGAAATAGTCTCTCTTTGCTCCAAGCACTACTCCACAGTCTCTTCAAGCAGCCTCCAATTTTTCCCATGAAAATTCATGGATAATTTTGTATTTGTTAAACACAGGTAAAGACTTCGGCCCATGATTAGACACACACCCAAGGAGCCCCTTGGAGGACAAATACCTGCAGGTTTGAAGGCATTGATGAGAGTGAGGAGACAGTGGGTCAGAAGCCAGGTAAATTGTGTAGTGCTAGTTTTAGGGTTTAGAATTAGAATAGTGCTCTATATTCCTGCCCTGCTGCAGCTACTTCATATTATGCAAAGGTGCCTGAGTGGTGACAGATATCTGTTACATGTAAGTCATGCAAAGCCATTTACCTGGGAAATTACTCAGCACCATTCCTTCAGTGTCTGCTTTTTGTGAAACAGACTTCAAATCAGCAAATATTACCCTGTATACAGGCCATAAGTGAACCTCAGCAGACTCCAGAGGAATGAAGGACTGCTGCAAATCAGTTTATCAGATGGACAAGTAAAATGTCTTGTAAGGAGGTATTTCCAAGGAAAAAAAACATATTTAATTTTGCAATCATTGGATTTCTGCTGCTAATCTATCCACTCATCCTGATAGCAGGCTTTTTTATTTGAACTTCTATTTTTTTTTTCCTTTATTGAATTCATATTTTCTTGTATTTTTTATCTTCTGGTGCTTTACTAATAGAAGACAGGGGAGAGAGCTGTTTCTAAGTGGCATTTCATACAAATATTGTGACTCTCTTGTTGTCTCAATAGTTTACAATTAATTTTAGCTCCTTTAGCTACAGAGGCTTTCAGCATTTTAAATTAATAAAGGAATTGTTATATTTGGCTTTTCCTAACAAGAACCACTTGAACAGTTTCTTTATATAGTACACATGAAATTGACAATGTGTAGGGGGATACTTGTCTTTTTTTGAAAGATACAAAGTGAATTGTTCTCTCTTGTGAAAAAGGTGTGAAATATTTATCCTCCTCATCACTGCAGTCACAAAGAAAATTCTAAACTTATGGAGAAAAAGATGCTATCATGCTCTGGGGACTGGACGTCCATGTGAGAAAAAAATTACTGCTAGACAAGCTAAACCCTTGGTCGTTTTGCTCTGTTATGTTCTCAATATATGAGGAACCATGTGAGCTGTCAATAGAGAAATTCTGAATAAAGATTGATATTTGTTCTTTGCCTTACCCAAACCATCAGCTGAATCATTTGTATTTTGGTTTTGCTAGATCCTCATGTTAAACTTCTCTGGCACCCTGATATAGATGTAGGGATTTGTTGTTTGCAGATGCTATGATAATAAGCGCAGAATTCTGCTTTAGTATTCTTGTGCTGGTGTTTAGTTTGCAGGGTGTAGGATAGTGTTGTTTACTCTGCTATTTGACCTTCTGCATATCAAT